ATAATATTTTGATGCAATAAAATCATCATTTTGGATGTACATTTATGGACTGCTGAATATGTACGGATTTATTAATTACGTTTGATCATGTTTCGTTACAATGATTTTGTATATTAAATGGTTTTGGTAACCATGTTTATGTAAATGTTTGCACTGAGCAAAGTTTTTAACGAAACATGAGTTCATTGCATTATAAACGATGGAAATCAAATAATAACTTTTCACGAATGCACTCGACAACCCAACTATTCAGTTTGTTGTCTATAGTTGTTCGTTGAATATTTATCATTTGATTTAATTAGACTGTTTGTGTGTCTTTTCTATCTGAGAAAATACTTTTAACGAGTTATATTCGATATCTTGTATAATGCATTTATAAATTTACATTTATATTTTAAATATAACGAACACTTTTTATATAAATATTAATTTGAAATATTTATTTGCAATAAGCGTGGATTTAAATGTTTTAATTCAAGTGACATTGTTTTCTGTCCAATCAAGAAATTCTATGATCCATACTGATAACTGATAATTAATTAGTGATAAATGAGCACTTGCGTCAAGTACTTTAAACGAACAGAAAAATTAAAAAATGAATTATTATGTAATGTTAACTATTCATTTAAACCATATAACCCTATTAATAAGTTTAAGAATAATTAAGTACCGTACAATTTTTCAATATATCTAAATGAAGTTATCAGTTATCTATGAGTTATCATTCTATTTTATCAAAATTACTGGTACAACAATAATGTACTTTAAAATAATTTATTGCAATTCTTATCGATCAAAAAAAAATTCTCTCCATATGGAACCAAATATCAGAAGCATACAAAATTAAAATTCAAGGTGAATATTACATTTAGTAAGCTTGGTTTATCTATTTAAATTGTAATTGCAGTGCGACACGCAAATCGGACATACTAAATTCAAAACTTGTAAGTAATAAATCGAATTCTTATAAATATATTTATTCCACTTATAATAATAGAATGATAATTTAATTAAAACAAATGAAAATTGCTTATTTGATATCATTGTGTTCTGACTGTTTAATGAATGTATGTTGTAGCATACCATTAGATTAAGTAAGGTTCATCAAAATCACGCAAAATATTTCATATTGTTGAAATTCTTACGTTGGACCAGATTGCGTTCTATCACGTCTTCATGCCTCGACTAATAATAATAAAGGCAAGTCAAGCCAGAGCATATTTTTCTTTTGCGTTACACGGCTTGTAATTATTGGTGTCTGGAGCTTGTCTACAGCGATGTTGTACTCTCAAGGCATGTACACATGAGAGGTCAAGGATGTTATATACTTTTTTTTGCAATTTACGTCACACAAAATTAGAATTATCTTATAATAAATCAATTCTGCTGGGCGTATCAATGGCAGGGATCATTTTTGTTCGAATAACAATAACTTAATATGTTACGATAGCAGTGAGTTTGAAGTTTTTTTCTTTAGAGATAGATTATTTTTATTCACACAAGTAAATATATTTTTTACGTGAAAAATTTGAAATTTATTTTAAAGAATCTATTTTTGCATAAAAAATTTCAAACATGATATTGATTGTTTTTATAAATTTACATTGGATAGAAAAAGATCAATTTTCAGAAATAACTAGACTTTGTCTTTTTAAAGTCAGACTATTGATTCATACATTTTTTTGGCCTCTCTGCTCACTTTGTTGTTTTAACATATTTCGCGCGTTTTTATATAAAATTTATTTAATAATTTATTGTTTCTACATAAAATTTCTCGCTTTGAAATGCTGATTCTACTAAATACAATATTAATAATCTTATCAATTACTTCATATTGAAGCTGAATATTTCCAGTGTATCCACTTTTTAGATACTTTGAGTATTTTTAGTTTATAATTATTAAAAAAAAACACATTTTGTTTTTTTTTAATATTTCGTAATTGAATGCATTCATATTAAATTTCAAACGTAGAAAGTAGCAACACATTTATGGCGCACCTATAAACAAAACAACCTACTCGTTGTTACAAAATTAATTAATATATGATATTATTTCCGAGCACTCATTTGGGAGTCGACAGCATTAAAACAGAATTATTTACGAATTGATATATGATACACCAACATTTTTGTTATCGAAAAGCACCTAAATTGTAATTTGCATAAATGATTGGGTTACCACCGCATGGAACTGAAAGAGTTTTTTTTTAAATCAAATTAGAAAAATCATACTTTGATGTATCAAGGTTATATAAAATTACAAATTAGGAAAATTATTGACAATGATTCATGATTTTCATTAAAAAAAAATCTTTATTGGTCATCCTAATCTTCATATACCATGCAACATTTCGTTTAAAATAATGCTCCATTACATTTTCGTTTACTATTATGCAGCGATGTGTTTTATATGAATCGCATTAGAAAACACGATATTTTCCGGAAAAACTGCCGGGTATACTAGCGTTGCAGCTGTAGGTAATTGGATAAAATTCCATGTTCTAGGAAAGAATAGAAATAAATTATAGCAAACTTCTTCGCTGATATACCCGTACACTTCCGAGAGCAAACATTGTAGGTAAAAATGGATTAGTCGAGTTTTTTTTACAAATTTTAAAATGTAATATAAGTACAGTGTAATATATCTTTTTTTTAATATCATTACTTTCTTACTCAATGCTATTTTTTCGAAAAAAATTTTTAACTTTTATTATAGCTATGCAGATAAAGCTAATATTTATCTACTCTAGATAGACAATTAGATCATACAATATATAGCATCATATTTTTGTGAACATTTTGTATATACATTGCCCATATTGCCCTATCGCGTCGTCGGTGTGCACTGCCTTGGCCATAAAACTCGTTCTAAAGATTTGAGATTCGTTTTAACGTATGCCGACGTTATAATTAAGACTCTCTCATACCTTGTATCTCACGATCACTAACTTCGAAACCGAAACACTCGCTGCATCGAAAGCCACGAAACTGCCCTGCGAATTCGCATTCTTTCTCGAGAGATGTTCATCAGGCTGTATACGAAGCTCTGGTAGATTAACTAAGAGTTAATGATTTAACTTTCCTAAGTACTAGATATGAAAATAATTTTAGCAAGAAATATGGAAAGGATTTTTTATTTATTGTCACTACATAAGAGAATGATTATATTTTTTTATACTTGTCCTCTTGACTTCAAAAAATAAGTTTTGTCTGATTACTAAAATATCTTGATTTTTTATTTATCGATTATCCCTGCTCTCCACAATTCCATTGTTAAATGAATCATGCTTGAGATTATTTTTAAATCTTTTTGAAGAATAAATCAGTTTTAATACCACTACATTTCTCACGTACTACATGAGATTAACACTCACGAAAGCGATGAGTTTATGAGAATCGTCGTAAAATCAGGAATTTGCAAATGCACAGTTTATGCACGGCATACCTGCTGGCGAGAAAAAAAGAGCTTGCATCTTCTTTGTGAATGAGATTTTAATTTCCATGCAAAGATTTTAGTTTATTATAGCTCAATGTCAATTTATGAGCTTTGGCTCAATACATACCACAGAAGCTGATGCCTGAACAAATTTTAAATTAAGATTCTTTAGCTATGAATCTTTTAATTTGTCTTCTATTCTCACGAATAAATATAAAAGATATATTTAAATATCGACTCAATGTGGTTGAATTAAATGTAGTAATGTACCAAATAACTAGCTGTAAGTGGAATTCTGTCTTAAGGCAATTAGGGCATCGTGCCTTAAGGCAAATTGCTGGTACTTCCTGTACCAAAAATTATTATTTTTTCAAAAACGATTAACATTTTTGAAAAAAAATTATTTCGAAAAAATAAGATTTTTGAGAAACTATAAATTTGACAAAAAATTACTTTTTTTTTGAAAAAAAAATTGAAAAAAAAAATAAATTTTTTTTTTAAATTTTTTTTTTTTGAAAAAAAAAATGTTTTCTTTATTTTGACATAAGTTGGAAGATCTGAACTTTTTTTCAAAGCAATCGTACTGCTTTAACTGCATAGTTACAAAATATAAAGCGCGTAAGCGCCCCGTCGCTATCTAACGGGTAAACATTGGTACGGAACCCATAGGAATGTAAACAAAATTTATACTTATTGTTAAAATCTCTATAAAATATCTGATAATTTGATGTGCATATGTCTAATCATCATTTTTGACCGCAAAATGGCACTTTTTTTACTTTTTTCGTTAGATCTCCGAAACCGCTAGACCTGCCCTTATGAAAATTTGATCAAATCTTCATCTAGTCAATACAAGTAAAATGTTTTTTGAATTATTGAAATCGGACGCTCCGTTCTCTTAAAAACTGAGGTACCGTTTTTGGCACTTTTTTCCCCATATCTTCGAAACGGCTAGACCTGCTTTCGCCAAAAACTAATCAGCACGTCTCCTTATCAATACGGATCGAATGTTTTTTAAATTATTCAAATTGCTTCATCCGTGTTCCCGAAATCGTCGACGAAAATTTGTATCCGCACACACATACATACTACGCACACACACACACACACATACATCCATTTTTTCTAAGGTATGCCAAAATATTCAGAAACCTCTGAAACGTAAAGATATATAAAAATTTTCATTTTCGATTTTTTTGCGATTACTATAACTTACCCTACGGGAAGTTAAAAATAGCTGATTATATTTTTTTATAAAATAATCTTTATTGATAATGATGTCTATAAATAAACTTCTACTGATATATAGATATATTGTCACCAATTTGTGTAAACTTAGTATAACAAACTTATTTTAAAATTATTATAGATATGCTTCATTGTTTCAAAACATGTTTTACTTATATTTTTTATATTACTGCTATTCTGTGACATTTACACATTTGATTATAGAGCATCGCGAATTTAATTATATATTTAATACTGCTATATAGATAGTTAATATATAATGTATCTAATATAATAAACAATAAGTCTAATTTTTTACTATCTTTTTCCTTCGCAGAGCACGTATTAACAGTCATTGGGCAATCAGAAAACCGCACTTTAGCGCTGCTCGACACGGTATACCGCCGGCCACCGCGGTTAGGCCACCCGCCTGTCTCGGCGCTCTACGATTCTATTCGCAAGCACGTCATTTCCTTCAATGAAGCCGATGCGAAAGAAACAAGCGATGTTACCACACTTCCAGCGTCAATTCCGAATGCTCTCGACAAGGCGGTGCGGCAATTCTTCGAACGACTCTTCCCGCTGGCATATCATCATATAGCACATTTTGGACTGACTGATTTCACGGAAGAGTACAAACAGTGCTTAATGCGTAATTATGATGAGGTAATATTAATCATTTTATTTTTATTTTTCAAGGGTTCTCACACAAAGGGGGTTTGAAAAAATCTCAGTAGTTTTTAACGGAGAAAAAATATCTTACCTAATATTTTTTCAAAAATATGTTTAAGGGGTAAGAACATAAAAAGATTAGGATTTGGTTTCCAAATTACTTGTAATAATTTTGTAAGCTAAATAGTACATCTTCAATTTTTAAATAAGAGATATATTAGTTTAGAATATTAAAGCATCGATGAAAATTCAAAAATGATGATAAAATGTAAATTAATACATTTATAAATAACTATATATAAATATATATATATCTTCTATATATATAAAAATAAGTCGGGTTTTCCTTCCTGACGAAATAACTCCAGAACGCACGAACCGATTTTGACAATTTTGCATTCATTGGAAAGGTCTTGGGCTCCGCAAGGTTTATAGCTAAGAAAATTAGTGGTGATGGCATCGTGCCCTAATGCAAATTGCTGGAACTTCACGCACCGTAATTAAAAATTCGAGTATTAAAAATAATCAATAATTGTTTTAAATAATTGCAAATAGATTATCTTCTATATATATAAAAATAAGCCGGGTTTTCTTTCCTGATCAATTTTTTCCTTTTCAAATATAAAACAAACAAAAAATTTCTTCATCTTTCTCACGAAACCATCTGGTGGCGAAACGGAGTTTGTCGGGTTTGCTAGTATATATATATATTAAATTGATTTAATATATTACAATTGAATTATATTTCTATTGAAATAATTATTTACATAGAATAGATTAAGTCTTAATTATATTCTCATTGACAGTCAATAACATAACATAAACTTATCTAATATATACAACGTAACTACTGGGAAAGACTTGCAAAGTTAATATAATATAAACTAAATTTAACAATCAATTTGAAAATATTCACCTTAGTGTTTAAGACAAATATAATTTCGAATAATTTGAATATTCGTTTCATTTCCGCATAGATTCAACCATTCAGCGATGCGTCCAAACGTCTATCTTCATCATTGCGACGATCTTTGCAAGCCACCCGGCTCCTGCTGCATGCCTTAGTTGAAGGCAGAAATATTCTACATGATGTCGATGAGACTCTGTCAGTAGAACAAGATAAAGAATGCCTGAAGGCGATGACAAAAATGACTCATTGCTCTAAATGCAATGTAAGTATTTGATATTTGATGTAGTAACAGTTACTTTTAGACTTTGTATGGATTTTTTTTCAATTTTGTTGTACTTAAATTAGATCTATTATATCAATGTAATGTATATATGTGTGTGTTAATTAGAAACTTAACTTTATTAACCCTTTCGCAATAATATATGGTTACTTTGTTTTAGGGTTTGAAAGCAGCCCGCCCTTGTGCCGGTTTTTGCTTGAACGTTTTACGTGGTTGTTTAGCCGCGAGGGTTGATGGTCTGGATGCACCATGGAACTCTTACTTAGAAGCTTTACAATCTTTAGCATCAGCAGCAAGGGCGAGAGAACCTGAAGAATTGCATGTGGAACGGGTATTAGGTGACTTAGATAACAAAGTATCTCAAGCTATTATGGGAGCGATGGAAGCAGGTCCTGAGCTTAAAACGAGGGTGAGTGAAAATTAATTTCATTAAACAATATTATGTTATGTATTTTTAATTATATTTTTCTTATTAAAACTATAAGCCTTGCTAGACCTAGTATAATTTATCATTTTAATCTTAATCAAGCATCATTTAGTTAAATCAATAATATAACTTTCTTCTGGACACAGAATTTTTTTAAATTTCGAATAAAATCAAACTTTCTAACAGATATTTTTTTTAAATGTTCCTTGAGCTGTAATAATAGTTGATATATTTTGGATATACTAAAAAATAATGCCAATCGTCTCCACTATATTGCGATGTTCTTAAGATTTTTTTTTCATTATCTCACACTTTGTTGATAAACAGTTCTTTCTGGGTCGCATATTTTATTGTTCTAGTTTGCGCAACTTGTAAGGTTTAAATAAAATAAAAAAGAGATAAGTCCAACGTATACTACCTTTTAGTTAAAACGACAAAAAATATTTGGCATAGAGTACTGTGTTGGATCTTACAACACGAGCAAAACATTGAAGCTTCTACTCTGTTATTACACAATCGGCGTTAAGCCGGCGCTTCTGACATATAAGCACACATGAAACAATTTTCTTCTGGAAAAGATTGTGTTAGTATATTTTCTCTAAAACCAATTGTGTAGTAGCAACAAAGGTAAATGACTTTGCACCTTAGGATATTTTATAATTATAGTCAGGAATGAAGTTGAAAATATAAATGCATGAACTTATTTCCTAGAAACAAATATACATCCAAATTCCAATTCAATTTTATTATTTTCAAACATATTTTCAATAAAATACTTATATGTAAACTGTAATTTTAATTTGTAATCTTTTAACTTTTTTTAAAATATTTACTTGCTTTATATATTTATGAAGCAGCTAACTTATGAATTTTATTTTGAGTGTTTTCATTTGCGGTTTCTTCCGTATTACCTCTTAGGTGGCGTCATCTTTTATTTATCGATTATAGAAAGATATCGATTATTATGTTCAGAACATGGATTTTACAGTCCTCAAAAAACAAATATGCACAAGTAGTATGGGTCTGATGGTGAATGCATCATTGCTTTCCATTGCCTTCATCCGATGATAGTAGAATTGCAGTTTTTTCTCCATCGTCTGCGTCGTTTTGGCGAACCCGGCGAACGCATTGGATATTTTAGACGAACACGCCGCACTTTCTATATTTAAAACATCCGCGAATATGCGATCGTTGTGCTTTTTCACGTTGCTTGGCAACGATTCAAAGTTTCAAACGGCCAGCGATCGCGTGGCCCATCGCTTGTCCGATGTTCCGACATATAGACTGATAGATTTCCTGGCCGTTAATTCTGTCTAATGTACTATTTTTTGCTACAGAAAAGCCATTAGGCAAACTAGATATTTAGTACTAGAACTAACTTAGGTCTAAATTTGTTGACAAATACAAAAAAATCGTACATCTGCAAATGAGTTGACTCAATTGAAATTATGATTATATTTCTGAATGAATGAACGAATATAATACGAATTAAATTGTATTCGCAATTCTTATGTTGATTTTAAGAAGTCTGTTGGTTTATGAATATAAGGACTTATCGCAAAATCGCCCTAGATATATGCAATAAATATCGTAACAATTTATTGCTTAGTATATTTTGATATTCAATGCACTTTGAACTTTTCGAAGAATGCTAACGACCCAAAAACCGATAAATTATCATTCTTTGGCAAAGTTCCAACATGTTTTTATTTTTCTGCATGTTATACCGCATTATTGCTGATACTTTTTTTCTCCAGTGAGAATATAATTTTCTATTGCTACTTAGTTTTATATACTGCAAATAATCTTATTATTGCAGATAGAATTATAAGAGAAGGGTCGAAATTCTCTTGAGCATTAGCTTCTATTTATTGGCTATATATATTTTGCGGTTGGCTGTAATAAAATAAATACACGTGCATATAATGTTTTGGTTTGTTTACTTCATAAAATTTTAAATATATTAATGCATTGAAAAAAAAACATTTTTGTATGGTTTATTATATTTAATAATACTAGTTTCATTCAATGTGTACATATAATATCTACACTATCTCTTAAAGTCTAGTATGTAATTTAGTATATGGCTAATGTACTAGGCTAGTACATTAGCCATATACTAAATTACATACTATATTTATATCATACTATATATATTATATATGATTTAATGGCTTTATAAGCTAGTACTACTAGCTTATAAAGCCAATAAATCATATATAAATAAAAAAAAAAAGTTTACATATATATTTATTTATATTTATATTTATATTGATCAAGAAAATTATATAAATTTTAAATTGGTCTTATCGAAAGAAACCATTTTTGCCCTTTTTCTATTCTAATTCATAAACTTGGTATTATTTACTGAACTTAAACTTACGACACTAATTTGACTTGTATTAGAACCTCACAACCGAATACATTGCTTGTGGTATTCAATTAAATTCTTCTCCCAGACGCATCGGTATTTTTCATTGGCATCTGTGTTAACACAGAAGAAGGTACATATAATCATCTCTTGAGGTCGTCAGCTGAGCGCCGTCTCTTTTTACTCGTTTTTCAGCATCTACTACTTCGAGTCTGAGGAATTCAAAATCTCATGATTCATTCAGACCGAAAGAACAACTCTTCTTGAAACGTCAGACATGGTGCCTTCTACATATATTCCCATCCTTCGCACTCCGAGTGCGATACAACAGACTCACATATGAGACTATATGTTACAGCGTTGGCCAACTGCGGGATGATTCAAGATTATTTTGTGAACGGTGGAGACTTTCGCTCACAATAATGATAACTTTCGATCATTAATTGTATCTTCTTTCTTCACATTCAAGATCAAAATCTTATCATATAATTTTAAATACTACAATTGTAACATCTTCAATATATAGCGATATATCTCAATTAAACATTACATACTCTAAAGTTTTACATTTACTTACTGATTTGTGGGATTTTTTATAATAAAGTTCAGAAAAATATAAAAATAAGTACTAGCTAAATTAGGTTTTCTACTTCTGATAAAGTTACCAACTTCTCTACATTTGCTCCACAACCGCGCACATACATACAGGTACAAACATTTAGACTCGCAGTTACCCTTCCTTCTTGTCGCAGGTGATGGTGTTATTAGTTGATTAAATACCTGTTATGCGTTTTAATCTGTACACGGACTATTTAGTCAAGTGGACAAATTACTGTTTCATTCAGTACTTCCAATTGCTTTTAAATAAAATCAATGTTTCTTCGGAGAAAACCATTTTATTTTATTTTATAAGCCTCTCAGAATTAAATCAATAGTTTTAACTAGCATTAAATTTTTTATTTTATTTAATTTTATATAAAATATGATAATAATTGTTATTGTCATCTATATATTTATATACAATTTAAAATTTAAAAGTTTAAATATTAGTTTTTTATTTGAGATAATTTTAATCAAGTATCATTTATTGTATATTTGCTTTACGTACTTTAAATTTTGGATTCAAAATAATACTTCTGTATGTTCTATATATGGTTGCTCTCGTAATACTTCTATTGTTTGCGCAGGACCAAACAACTTGATTTATTACTTCACATTCTGCAGCCATTTAATTTTACTGTATGGGTAGCTTGCTATTGTTTATTTGGATATTAACGTTATGAATAACTCCATAAAATTTAGCTTTTTAGTATAATACATCTAGTGTTTTATAATAAAATTTCATTATTTTAATTTGTCTCTCCATTCAATTCGTCTTTGTATCGCTGTTCGTAAAACGTAAAACAAACGAATTTCTCGCTCAGCGAGATGCAAGTCGCTGTTTGAAAAGTTTGATTGTATTTTGATATACATATAAACACGAACTGTATCTGTGGAAGCTGTATTGGTTCACTGTGTACACCTGAAATTCCATTCTCACACAATATGAATCTACGAATGAACGAGGAGCTACAGAGGAGTGAATTCCTATTGTGCAGGTTTAGCAAACGCCGCCCCAGCGTTTCATTGCATTCTACGAAGCCGAAACGTTGATATAGACAGAGTGCGTGTCAATACCTTACTAGACAAATCGAATTCTAAATATATTTGATTATATTCAAAAATAATAAAATCCTTACAATTTATAATTTAGTATTGCACATAATAACTACCAATTTATATTCCATCAAAATTAATAAATTGTTGAAATTTTTTTTCCTTGCTTCTTGACTACAATTATCGATCGCGTTTGAATAAGATATGACGCAGTTCATGTCGAGGTTGTAGTTTGTGATTAATTCGCTCGATAATCAATTACGTTTTCGCATATGGCCCATATTCATGTATGAATATGCTCGCACTAGACGTTTGCTTCGCGTTAATTATTTTAACCCTTCACGTACAACACGTATGCTTCAGACCGAACTTTGGAGAGAATGTGCTATTCCAATTCAACCTGGCGCAATTCGCTAATACACTTTCAAAATTCGTACACACTCTTAACTTTTAAAACAATTATTTTGTAGTAAATATTAAAATTTTTACTATTGCCATTTACTCAATTTTGAATAAAGTTTTAATTCTTTAATGTATTAAATACGACCTGTTTTTACCACTATTTCACATTTCCTATTTGTCAATCATTTATATTTTAAATTTATGTAAAATGAAAAAAGCACAATGTAAATGAAGATTTTATTCATATGATACTTGTAATATTTTTTTAAGGAAAACTTATAATGGATATTTTTTACAAAATAAGTTTTGCTTTAGAATACTGCCTTTTCTTTTGCGTTTATTTTATAACATAGTAAGGATACAAATTACAAATTCATTACCAATGTTTTTTCTGTTATGAGAACTTTGGTTACAATGCTGTTGCTAAATGTTTGTGTATTCTACAGCAATCTCTACAGATGAAATTTCTCACGGGCTATAAAGGCTACTACAAAATAGAATTTGTTACTACGTCAATAAAATCTACGGTAGATAGGAATATAAATGAGAGCAAAAGATTAAACTCATA